TTTTTTTTTTTTTTTTTTTTTTACACACAACTTGCAAATGCATGCATTTTTCTTTTTTTTTTTAAATTGTGCTCCCAAGTTCCCCTGCACATCAAGAGTGATAATCTTCTTGGTGTGCTGCTGCTCTTGCAATGTCTAATCACAGCCTGAACTAGAGTCCTAGCACAATATGCTGCAGAGAGGTCTCAGGGAAGTGCTGTCTGGTAGAGATACCAGATCACAAGGTAAGACGGTTCACATTTGTGTATTTCTACTGTGTAGCTAGCTGTGTGTCTGGAGTTCAACCTTTAAAAGATAGATCTTACCACTGTGCATGAAAATCGGGAGCTTTTAGTGCGTCTTTCCCATGAAAAAAACCTTGCAAGCCGCCACACTACAGTGGCACACAGGCAGATTGCAGTCCTGAAACTGCTGTTTCTTTTAAATCATCCATACGAGCTGTTTTATGACCTACCATTGCATTTTTACCTTTGTGTCTTTTAAAATAAAAAATAATCTGCACTAGGTTGGGCACCCTTCTGTCCTTTTTGTATTCCAGTTTTACAGTTCCCCCCGGCTGAAGTGGGGCAGCACCCCTTGTAATTTTATACATATAAATACTCAATCACCAGGATCCGTGCACAGCGCTTTGACTTTACTATAAGCGAACCAACACGTCTGATATACAAAAACCAGAGCAAATGAAAGCAGAAAAAAAAAAGTGGAGGTCTGTCTAGGAACCAAATAATTTCTTTAATCACTTCCTGTGCGGAACAATTTGATTTTTTCTTAATTTTTTTTTGGAGAGCCCGACAGTGTCAGGAGAGAGGAGGAGACCCAGTGGCATACCACATCCTGCCGGGTGAACATCCCCTCCAATCTCTTCTGGCGTCCATCGCTAAGATGGCCACTGGCAGGCGTCAATAAGACGACCGCGCGATGACGTCACGGCAGGGTGTCACCCGGTCTCTGCTCCGGGTGTCACCCAGCCTCGGGACGTCCCTGGCCCTGTACAATAAAAAGAATGCTAGTTGCAATTTTTATGTACCGTGGTATTTGCCAAACATGTTAAGCCTTAAAATTGCAAGCACATGTGAAATGGCAAAAAACGACGTGTAGTCAAAATTGCCCATAGGCGACACTTTATCAGTTTAGAGCTGACAGTGATTGATGGCCCAAGAATTATTGCTCGCTGACATGGGTTTGTGTTTGTATGAGAGTGTACATGGGGTCCAAGACTTCTAAAGAAAAAATGTGTGTTTTACTTTCTATATATGTGATACACACACACATATCAGCTTCTTCTCTGGCCACTGCAGCCAGAGAGATGACAGAACGCTGCATCTGCTTTCAGTGATCAGAGGGGAGATCAGCCCCGGGAAGGATGCTGATCTCCCTCCGATCGAGGTGCACACACCTGCCGTGCTGCGGCGGACACACACACGAGCTACATAAAAGTGATCAGGCGAGTCTATAACCACCCAAACCCTTGTATGTGACAGCAATCGCCAGCTGGATAAAAAAAAATGGTACCTGCAGCAGCCGTGATCTTCGTATAACCACTTCAGGACAGCGCCGTTTATACAAGTATTGTGGTCCTGAAGCGATTACATTTAAATGGCTGCAAGTAACAAAAAAATCAGTTCTTTTAATTGCCCACATTAGCCCCTACCTCCAGTCACAGGTGCAGGTACCTTTGGGATCTGTTACCTCCTAGATGAGCTGAAGTGTATCTAAAATTAAGTTCTGCTAGGAGGCAAAACACGTCAAAAGGAATGTGTTGGAGTGACAGCCCCGATGAAGATTTTATCAGATCTATACATTATATTACCTTCTAAATGTGTAACATTTGCCTACATATAAGATCCATATTACTCACTGTAATAGATATACCGAGTCCTTCATGATCTTCTTTAACGAGAATTACTTTTCTGATTGGCCCAACTCCTTGACTTTTCTTCAAGCATTCTGGGTCCTGCTGGTACAAAAGGAAACATCTATAACCTTGCACAAATATGTGAAACAAAAGTTGCATGTAATTAGCTGTATGTAACAAGTCTCATCGATGTACACTCACCGGCCACCTTATTAGGTACACCTTGCTAGTACCAGGTTTAACCCCCCTTTTGCCTTCAGAACTGCCTTAATTCTTTGTGGTATAGATTTAACATGGTGTTGGAAACATTCCTCAGGGATTTTGGTCCATAGTGACATAATAGCATCACGGGCCCAAAGTGTGCCAAAAAAAATATCCCCCACACTATTACACCACCACCACTACCACCACCAGCCTGAACCGTTAATACAAGGCAGGATGGATCCATGCTTTCATGTTGTTTATGCCAAATTCTGACCCAACTCGCAGCAGAAAATCGATACTCATCAGACCAGGCAACATTTTTCCAATCTTCTATTGTCCAATTATGGTGAGCCTGTGCAAATTGTAGCCTCCGTCTCCTGTTCTTAGCTGACAGGAGTGGCACCCAGAGTGGTCTTCTGCTGCTGTAGCCCATCTGCTTCAAGGTTCAACGTGTTGTGCGTTCAGAGATGGTATTCTGCATACCTTGGTTGTAACGAGTCGTTATTTGAGTTACTGTTGCCTTTCTATCATCTCAAACCAGTCTGCCCATTCTCCTCCCACCTCTGACATCAACAAGGCATTTTTGTCCACACTATTTTCTCTGTAAACCCTAGAGATGGTTGTGTATAAGAATCCCAGTAGATCAACAGTTTTTGAAATACTTAGACCAGCCCGCCTGGCACCAACCACCATGCCGCGTTCAAAGTCACTTAAATCTCCTTTCTGATGCTCGGTTTGAACTTCAGCAAGTAGTCTTCACCATGTCTAGATGCCTAAATGTATTGAGTTGCTGCCATGTGATACCAAGCAATCGAACAGGTGTACCTAATAAAGTGGCCGGTGAGTGTATGTTGATTTTTTTAATAATAGGGCTGCGGAAATTAAAGATTCATTTCTCGATTAATCGTTAAAAATTTTGATTGATTAAAATTCTTTTGATCAAACATGAAAACACTCACCTCTCCGCCGGCTTCCCAGGCTTGACAAAGAAGACACAGCGTAAGGATTCGCCCCGCTGCGTTCCTCCCCAGACTGAAGGCAACCCCGGCGCGTCATAGTTAGACGCCGCTGCGTTCCAGGGTGGAACGCTGTGGAGCGTTAAACTGCTCCTCCTCCTCTCACCGCCGTCACGATAAGACGGGGCTGGGAGTTTTGCACGGCGTTCCACTATTGTGGAGTGAGCGCCTGCAAACTCCCGAACCCCCCTGCAACCGCAACCACAAACCACCAGGACTGCTGCTAGGAGGACCTGGTACCGGCTGATCTGACAGAGCGCAAGTACCCTCAGTGTGCAGAAATGTCTGCATTGCTATAATGACAGCCTGCTTCCTGCTTGTGATCATTCAATGCTAATCAGCCAAATAACATGTGATAGTGACTGCTATAGTGGCTTTCTCTCTCTAAGGAACCTGTGTGTATTGAGTTACATCTTACCACCACTCCAAGTAACCTGCTGTGTTTTCACATTACAATGACTGTTGAGATGACATGCTGTTGGGGTTGAGATACTTGCCATTTTCATAGTACTGATACTGTTTGAGCCAAGGGGGACTAATTAGCCCCAGTCTAACCTATACAACCGCTATGCAGAAGGCAACCAAAAGTAGTTGGATCTGTATGTGTATTATAATCAATCGAAATTGATTAAAAAAAAATGTGATTAATCGAACACGAAAACTGTAATCAGCACCAGCCCTAATTAATAAGAATAATTTGAATATATGTACAATGGAGGCAGCAATTGTTGCTCTTAACATATGCAGAGCTTTGCTTTCTGCTTAGCAGCTCTGAAATTAACTAGTGTTCTTTTTGTAGGTCTCCTTTTCCAAAAAATGTTTTTTTTTACTAAAAAAAAAGTATCCCTCGCACTGTCTGCAGCTCAGTGTAGTGTACACTCACAGCAGCTGAAAAATATTGAACAGTCAAGCCTAGTGCCAGGGTAGTGCAACTCTACTTTGCATGCATGAGAATTGCATCATCACTGACAGGTAAGCGACCCTACTGGTCCCTTGCTGCCACGTTCTGCTACCAAGAACAAAAGCAAAGCCTTATGTAAGCTACAAGTCATCTGAGTCATAGCTCACACAAGGCTATGAGCTCCCTTTGACAATGAACATTGCCTCAGCACAAGTGAGTCACTTGCTACTCCTTTACCTGAAGTACCAGGCATTTCCTTTGGCTCCCTGTGCCAAATGGAGTAGTAGGGGAGAAAACTAAAAGGTTCCTATATACAGCTGGGGGAGGGGAGGGGGTTTTACAGTAAACCTGCTGCTTTGTGCAAAAGCATAGGAATGCTTTAAACTAAAGCAGAACTCCAGACAGAAAACAAAAACTCCGGGCTCTGATCATTGCATTTAAAAAAAAAAAAAAGCATTTATAAATACTCTTTTAATAATCTTAACTTGCAGTCACATTACCATCATGTTTATTTTCCACATCTGTTGTCAACTGGTAAAACTGTGCCGCTCAACATCCCCACGTTAGTTCCAGACTGATTTGCCCCACCAGCTGTTCATACTTCCCCTTGCTCTTCCAGCGCTTTATTCGGCCACTGGAATTGAAGACAGCTAGCCCTCTGTAAGCTTTAACTTGTGATTTGCAGCTTCTACAGGGCTAAATACTCCCTTTCCGCAGTGTGGGGTGTCTTAGTGGCCAATCACCAAGCACTAGCACCATCACTTGGGAGGACAAAAAGTGAGTCACATGCTCCCCATACCTAAAATTACTCTTAATTTTTCTCTACTATAGTAAGCAAATGCAGCAACAAGGGGTGAAGCACAGATCATTTTAACCCGCTGAGGGCTTACATTGAATGTAAAACTGTTTTGTGCATAGCTCATTATGGGCTATGCACATATTCTCTTAAAAGACACCTTTCATGAGAAAAAGGCTGCAATTGTTCATCTTGTACCGCGGAATGATAGCTGCTTGGCAGCCATCGATACCTCAATACAGCATCCACACAGATCTCATCTGGTCTGAGACTCTTTTTGACTGCAGGAGGACTGCAAGTGGTTTTTACTTTTGGATGTAATGTTTTGAAACAAAAGCATTAGCTCTTCTGGGTAAGAAGATTACTGGAAATAATGGCCCAGGACAATTCCCACCCCATCCATCTTTGGCTCAATGCAGGTCACACACAAACATGGTAAAATAGGGAAGATAAAAATTGGAAAACGAATGTCTGCACAAGAGAAAACCGCATTTAAATGTTTACTCTGCGTAATTATTCAAACATTTTTTTAAGTGCGTCTGTTATACTAAAAAAAAAAAAATACATATTGAATGAAGTAATCCACACAGATTAGCGTATCTGCAAGCAAAGTAAATAAATAGAATGCTTGCAGCACTGACTACTCTATCTGAACTCCATTTGTATGTTATGTTATATGCTGCATCCTCTAAGATATTGGTTTAGTGCCCTGTTGTGTATAGATAACAAGTCAGCTTTAAAACCTATAGTAAACCTCATGAAATTATTACAAAAGATATGTCCTTTTTTTAAACAAAAGGACAATATACAATAAATATAACATGCATATTTCATAGAAAATAAGCAAACTTACATGTCCTGGAGGAACTGGCAGAGGTCGCTTCAAATCATTTCGCCCTCGACAGGCTCTGATAACTGTTTTATGTCTGTGTAAGTGAATTTCAGCCTCAAGCTGATTCCATAACTTGTCATGTGCAGGACCCTTCATATCCCGGCCAAGCAACTGAATTTGCTGGACTCTTAATGTAGATAGAGAAACCGAATGTATTAATTATAATGATTATTCATTTACAGCATGTAAATTAAGAATACCAGTTGGACTCAAGTGGTTCTCAACACTTGACTCTATGTACCTTCAATTGTACATTTATTTCCTGCTACTAAGTGAGTGCAGAATCCGCTCATAAAATTGCACTTGGACTATGTTTGCGTGATGCGCAGTTTCGTACTGCGTGGCCGTTGCGATAGTCTGAGTAATGCACATTGCAATGCATTGTCTTTTATGTTTAGCGTGGTTCCGTATGACCGAATACGTGCGGAAAACCACTCATGTGTGAATGGAGCCTTAAAGTCGACCTTCGGTTATACTGGTACATACAGGCAGTTGGGACACTAAACTGTAGGCAAGCCCAGGATAACTACTGCTGCTGCTACCAGCATTCCTCAGTTTTGTGGCAAGCAGTAATAGTTTGACCAGAGTGTTGGGACCTGTGTCACTCAATGGCTTCTGGCAGAGTGGCAGAGCTATGAACTGAAAGTACAAAAGACCCACAGCAAAGCATAGGAATCACTGGTACGCTGGAAAGATGGGGACATGTAGGTAAGCATCTTTGATGTCAAGAGATACAGGAAGTCTGCCTGGTGGAAGGGGCGATCACAGACCTGAGGTATCCCATATGGAAGACATTTAGAGCTTCAAGATCCAATATGTCTCATTTGGGAACAATGAACAGTTTGGAGTAATACCACTGAAACTGTTCTGCCGTAGCAACTGGGGTAATAGTACCCTGATCCAGAAGACCCTGGAGATCTGCCAATCTGTGCAGTGAGACAGGAAGGTTGGAAGTAATGAACCGAGCAGTGGTCCGGGAGTGAAACTCTACCTTATTTGCAAAGGCTATGTCCCTCTTCTTAGGACACTATTAAAAAACTGAGGCATGCTGGTAGTAGGAGGGGTTATCTTGGGCTGCCCTACAGTTTTTGTTTTTTTTCCCCCTCTAATGTCCAATCCTCTTGTAGGTGGAAGTATAACCAAGGTTAAAGTCTTCCTGTGTCTTTCAATGGATGCGAAAAAAGAAAAAAAAAAAAAACACAATTTAATAAGTTCTCAGTACATATGATGTTTTTTCTGCATAGGAGTAACATCACAGTGGTTTTTGCCCAACTTTTCCTAACTGACAACTCACACAAAAACCCTGCCCGCTCAGATTGTAAATAGCACAAGATGCAGCTCACTTCCAATATGGCATATCCTTTTAATAGCTTTCTTACAGCGATCCATCTGCTACACATACAGAAAAGATCAACTCCCTAGAGGCTGAAAATATATACATACACAAAAATGAAAGCGGTGTGCAAAGCACACAATATAAAATAGTTCCTTTCTATTCGTTTTAGGCTAGATTTTCACTTTGGATTGGTATTAGAAGAAATAATGAAAAAAAAAAAAAACAAGGAGGCTGTTAAACAGAAGTAGAAAAAAAACTTGGCAGGTAAAATAATTCACAGAAATGTTTTTACTATTAAATCTATGCAGCCTTTTACCTCAATTGTCTATTCAATAGATAACTAACATGACAATGACTCAATGAACAAAAGGTACCTATGCTGGTTCACTGTCCAATGAGCAGGCAGGGGACACGGGAAGCTGTGAAGCCAGATACTAGTGCGGTTACCTGCATTTACATAAGATGTAAAGTTGGGCCTAATGTAAACAAAGTTTTTTGTAGTTGAATTTGTCCAGCAACAGAGATGTGCCCTCACATTCCTGCTTAAATGCATCAGTATTTTCTTTTACCATGGTAAACTAAAAGCAGTAACCAACAGTATTACCACAACTCAACCCCACCAAATGTCTTACCTTCCAGCCAGTTCTTTATCCAAGTACTTAGCAGCCAGCCTTGCGCCATATACCTCTGCCTGGAGAACAGCAATATGTCTGCGAAGGGCTTCATTTTCTTTTCTAAGCAATTTGACTTCGGCTTCCAGCAGTGCTTCCTTTACCTTCTCCCTCTTGTTGGCCTCCAGTTCTTTTTCCTGCATTAGCATACATAATAGTGAGTGTTACAATGAGCCACAAGGAAAAGGGAATCTGTCCCAAGAAGTATGGTGGCTGCCACTGCTGACCTCTCTGAAAATGCTAGTTATACGATTGTTATACCAATTCAGCGATTCAGTACTTAGATTGGCCGCTTTCTATCTGACCGCTGTATATGAACGGCCAGAGAGGAGCTTCTTGAATGCGGGTGACCGTTTTAAATCGTTGTTATGCACGTGTGCGCGCATGAGTGGGAAATTGCCATTATTTGAAACAGCCAACAATGGCTGTTTAGATATAAGCATTCGGACGGCTCTTTAGCTTTTATGTGGTGCCACTTGGTGTGCGCCCTCTCTGCCGCTCCCGAGCTCCACTGTGCCCGATGCAGCCGTGAGAACAGCACGGCAGCTTTTTTGACCGGAGATCAGCACACGATAATAAATGTTTCCTAACAATGTAGGAAAAACAGTTTATCAAAATGTAATATTTTTTTTTCATTATAAAAAAAAAAGTGATGATTAAATACCACCAAAAGAAAGTTCCATCTGCCCCCCCCCAAAAAATGGTATACAATTCATTTCAGTACAGCGTTGCATGACTGAAAAAATGTCAAATTACCTCAGCATTGAATACTGAAAAATGTGTCAAGTGTCAACACCCCGGTCTTTAAGTGGTTAAAGTATATATATTCTGACTTTCTCATCTACTTGCTCGTTTTACATCAATGACTCAACAAGCATTTTCGGAAGAAAGTTGGCTTTGATCGCCTCCAGTTTTCTTCAAAGAAAAATAATGCAATGTTGAGTCAGGGGACATTTTACTGGAAATACTACTTCTGCGCATTTTTTTTGCTACACTGCAATGGAAGACAAAAGCAGAAATCCATTCCATCAACCAAAAAAAAGCCTCAGTCTCATTTATCACAACATCCAAATGCCCCATGACAATTTAAGGTGTAGTGCCACTTGTGCAGCCAAATTGAGAGAAAACCTATTTTAGGTTTGTTATATGTTCTCATTTACATAGTATAAATTAAAAAGGGGAAAAAAAAAAACTTCTGCTTTAAGCTTAAAAATCCTACCTCCCCTCCCCTCTGTGTAAGGAGTGGGCTGTGGGAAGTTAGGTTTACCATAAATAACCCTGTCTGCACTCTGTTGGCAGATCTCATTATCAGTTGTGAACTAGATTTGAACACTGTGAGGGGAATTTATCAAACTGGAGCAGTTGCACATAGCAACCAATCACCTTCTCTCTTTTATATTTAAAGCTTAAAAGGAGAACTATGAGGTGAGTGCTTTTCACTCACCTCATAGTTCTAGCCGACCTGTGACAATGAGACTGTCACAGGTCGGCTCAGTAGATCGGGAGGTGAGAGAACACATACCGGCGTTCGCTCACCTCTCGATCCTGTCACGGCTCTCTGCCATGACAGGGGGAGTGGCTGGATTCCTCCCTGCCCGCTCCGATCCTCCAGCGCTGACTGGTGGAATGGACGGGTACAGCTGGCTCTGCCTCTAGATAGGCAGAGCCAGCTGTCAGTCACGCAGCTGGGCGGATCCCGGCACGATTGTCGGGATCCGTTTCAGCATCTCAGTATACCGCGAGCAGCTGCTTGCGGTATACTGCGGCCTCTCAGTATACCGCGAGCTACAGCTCGCGGTATACTGAGCCTAGGGTGACGGGAGGACGCTAGTTTATGTCCTCCCGTTACCCTAAGGAGAACTATGGGGAAAAGACTTAACCCCATAGTTCTCCTTTAACTGAACAAAGTGAAGAGAGCAGCTGATTGGTTTCTCTGGGCAACTGCTCCAGATTCTGTCCGCCCCAGTTTTGATAAATTGCCCCCTGTATGTCCTAACAAAAGGTTAAAGCCTTCGAGACATTGGGGGGAATTTATCAATACTGGAGCAAAAGAATCTGGAGCAGGTGCCTATGGCAACCAATCAGCTTCTCTCTTCAGTTAAGGTTTAAAAATTAAAGGTGGATGCCGATTGGTTGCCATGCACAGCTACTCCAGATTATGTCTGCTCCAGTTTTGATAAAATTCCCCCATTGTGTGTTAATGAGTCAGTGTGACCTTCAGTCTGACACTATAGTTTCACTCTCTAACTGCTCAGAGCAGCCTGCAATCTGCACAAAGTCCTTCAACAAAGAAACAGCTTAATATAAATATATATATATTTTAATAATTTAAAAAATATATTTGTGGTATGCTGTGTGAAGAAAAAAAACTCATAGTGGGGTTTTCTCAAATTTGACTGCAAAAGCAGAACTACACTTTAAATCATATAGAACTGGTGTCAGAAACTGCTTATTATGGGGTCTGCACTTTCCCCATGTTTGTAGTCATGTAGCCACAAAAGGGAATCAACTTCACAATTTTATTTAAAATATTAAACAGAAACCCAATTTTGTTCAAATGACACTAATCTGCAAGGGATCTAAATGTTAGAAAGCCATGACAAAGATCCCTTTCACTTTTTGCTTAGTCACATTCCCCGGCATTTTGTAATGTTTAACAATGCACAATATTTGAAACCAGTTTCCCATGACACCCAAGTGCCAAAATATTAATTGTGACTTAGAATGACATGAAAACAATTTGTATGAAAAACTAAACAAACATAATCCGGTTCCTGCTAAAATACACTAGGAAAACATGTCAGTAATCTAATCCAAACTATTAAACCAATCATCTTACCACAACATAAAACATGGTAGACCTGTAAAACCTGCTGCACATTAATATCTAATTATAGAAATCTAATTTAGTATAACAGAACGGACTTGGATCTCTGTCAATTGACTGTTTTAGCAACCCTGACCTAAATATAGCATTGGCAATATACATTATACATTGATCCAACATGCAAGTACTAAAGTCCTGAAGGTTAAATAAACAGCACAGAACCAGATGTAATAAAACTTCTATTAGTGCAGTTGCGGACACATTAATATGGAATTATCCAATCCAGGAGCCAGCAGGATTTATTATTAGAAGCCAGCTCCATTGACAATTAGAGAAAACCTCAAAAGTTAGGCACCAGCTGGAATTTTTAAGGCGCATTGGCTACCTGGCTCCTGGGATTTCTCCAGCCCTGTATTAGTGTAACATCAAACCACTGCAGTCAATTGTGAGTTTTAAAGAGATTCTGTCACAATTTCATTCTGTCACTATTAAATAAATAAGCGCTGACTGGCGGAACGGACGGGTACAGCTGGTCTGCCTCTAGATAGGCAGAGCCAGCTGTCAGTCACGGATCGGATCAGAAATAATTGTCGGGATCCTCTTCGGCGTCTCAGTATACGGCGAGCTACAGCTTGCGGTATACTGAGCCTAGGGTGACGGGAGGACGCTAGTTTGTGTCCTCCCGGTACCCTAAGGAGAACTATGGGGGAAAGCCCTAACCCCATAGTTCTCCTTTAAGTCCGTATTGAAAGTTGTGGGGTTTCTTTTTTTTAAATGGAACTGTGGCCAGGAAATGAACATTGAACTTTTTACCTTTTCCTAACAAGCTTTTAAACAAGGCCTCACTGTCCCTGCCTCCCACCAGCGGCAGCCTGGCAGCCTTCTGATCTGTAATGTAAAACACAGAAGGGGTGTTCAGGTGGGGGGGGAGAGAGCAGAGTGCCCAGACAAGACTTGAATGACTTCACTGGATATCTTGGGACATTTGAAGAGTAATTGCTGCACAACGTCTGCAGCTACAGAGGTCAGTGAGGGTTTGTTTTAAAGAGAATTTACTGCTTGTTAAATATACAAATACATATTTGTAAATGTCCATTATTTTGCCACAGTTAGACTTTAACGTAACATAGCCCCTTTAGTTATAGCTGTCGAGGGATGGCCACAAGGCATTTAGCACACTTAAACTGTTATGTAAACATAAGTACTACAAAACATTGTAAGCCTGATACCAAGTTAGTGCTACAGATGGTGACAGAACTGTGTCGTACTCACCATGACTTCCAGAGTAGGGACAGACTTAAAGCAAGAGGAGAAAGAGATATTTCTGGTTAGGCTAGATATTGTTAGAGAAATAGGATGGGGTATTAGACAAAGAACTCTGAAACAGTCCAACAAAACTAATGTACTGTTTAAAATAAGCCTAGTAACACAGAGCAAATACAAAACATTTACTGTCATAAGAAAGCTCAAACAAAAAATATGTTAAAAGGCAAAAAGGAATAAACAAAGAATACGGAAAAAAGGTATATAAAAGCACTATTTAGTCACAATGCTACATAGTTCAACCCAAGGATACAACATGGCACAAAGTTACAGAATACAGAGTTTACTAGCTCACCTTTAGAACTGTTCGGAGTTATCATATTAGTAAAATACTTCATTCAAAATAATTTGGCATTGAACCTTAAAACCAACCGTGCCAAAACTGATATTTTAGATTTGGGTAGGTACCAACTGACTAAAGCTAGCTTCTTTTATCACTTGGAGACTGGCAAGAACTTGTAGAACAGCTTGTGTCTCCATCATATCCTAGAAGACTACAACAGAGACGTTGCCATGTTAGGAATTCATTCTTTTATGGTCATTTAAGTATAGCTAAAGGCCAAACGTTTTTATTCAGTCCTGGAAAGTAGGGAATGGTTACAACTCCTGACAATGTCTTTCTTTTGCCACCTGTATCCCATGTGGGAGGGAACTACCTTCACTTTCTGTCTCGTTGACATAACAGGAAAAAGGAAGATGAAATCTGTCTAAGAAAAGAAAAAAAAGAATTTCCTCCTCTATACTCATTTCCCTGAAGGCTCCAAATGTAGTATATTCCCTCACTTTCAGTCCTGCCCAGCAAGAACACAGACAGCAAAAAAAGATCCTAGCATTATCCTACTCCATCAAAAACAAAAAAAGAAATGAACTATATTCTACATTAAAGTGAATCTATACCCCCTTTTTGTAAGATTTGATTGAGTAGTGAGGGGGGTCAGAACACCTGTCAGGTTTTTTTGCTGTCTGTACCTGTATTAGTAGATTTACCCTCTCTATTTGTCCTGGTGACCATCGTCACTGGGATGCAAGTGAAGGAAAATCAAAAGTTGGCATTGTCACAAGAAAATTAACACAGGGGAACACTTGTAATTGGGTCAGAATTTCCACTCACAACCTGCTGTGTTTACAGGACAGAGAGTGAAGGGAAATCTCCCCAGGGGTTTTAACCATTTCCTATTCCATCCAAAATAAAAATAAATACATTTTTTTTAAAAAAGAGCTTTGGTTTTGGGTACACTTTATGGAGAAACAATTGGGTCAAGGCGACAGCTTTACATGACTTTATAACAATGGAAGAAGCGTGACTGCCAAAGTAATCCTTAGAAAATATAAAGACAGCTCAAGTCTGATTTATCATGCTGCTGCCAGCATGTAAAGTTTAAATATCATTGTAGGTCAAGCTGACGTTTAAATTAGTTTTTGTTTTTTTGTGACACTAAACTCAGGAGTTAAACCTTAAAGGAGGAGAACTATGAGGTGACTGATTTTCACTCAACCTCATAGTTCGAGCCGACGTGTGACAATGAGACTGTCACACGTTGGCTCAATAGATCGGGAAGTGACCGAATACATACCGTCGCTCACTCACTTCTCGATCCTGTCCCTGCAGAGAGCCGCGACTGACACTCACGGCTCCCTGCAGGGATTAACCCCCGCTCTGATCCTCCAGCACTGACTGGCGGAACGGACGGGGCGGGGTACAGCTGGCTCTGCCTCTAGATAGGCTGAGCCAGCTGTCACTCATGCAGCTGGGTGGATCCAGAAAACATTGTCTGGATCCGTTCCTGCTGCGGCGTCTCAGTATACCGCGAGCGCTGACAGCAGACAAGCCAGTCCTGGGCCTCTAGGAGGGGCAGCGGAGCCCAGGATACACGGCATGGGGTTTTTGTTTTTTTGTGACACTAAACTCAGGAGTTAAACCTTAAAGGAGGAGAACTATGAGGTGACTGATTTTCACTCAACCTCATAGTTCGAGCCGACGTGTGACAATGAGACTGTCACACGTTGGCTCAATAGATCGGGAAGTGACCGAATACATACCGTCGCTCACTCACTTCTCGATCCTGTCCCTGCAGAGAGCCGCGACTGACACTCACGGCTCCCTGCAGGGATTAACCCCCGCTCTGATCCTCCAGCACTGACTGGCGGAACGGACGGGGCGGGGTACAGCTGGCTCTGCCTCTAGATAGGCTGAGCCAGCTGTCACTCATGCAGCTGGGTGGATCCAGAAAACATTGTCTGGATCCGTTCCTGCTGCGGCGTCTCAGTATACCGCGAGCGCTGACAGCAGACAAGCCAGTCCTGGGCCTCTAGGAGGGGCAGCGGAGCCCAGGATACACGGCAGGGGTGTAGGCAGAGCCAGCTGTCAATCACGCAGCTGGGTGGATCTCGACAGTAATGTAAAGCTTTGGGTCACGGGAGGACGTTAGTTTATGTCCTCCTGTGACCATTAGGAGAACTGTGGGAAAAAACACTTACCCTATAGTTCTCCTTTAAAAATACATTTAAGTACCTTAACTAATAACAAAAATGTATCTTATTTGTGTATCACTCGGCTGTAGATCCTCAAATCATCTCTGAATTGGTGCTGACACCGTTCTTCCTTCTGGAGGGTGGATACTTTCGTTACCCATGGTCCCTGCGTGTATGGTAAAGTAGTCACTGCTCCAAGCTCACTCCAGTGATGGACTACAATCTCAATACAAATTGGTAAACTAATCGGGAGATTGTAGTCAATCACGGGAATGAGCTTGAAGTGGTGGCTACTTTACAACACACACAGGGACCATGGGGAGCAATAGTAGCCACCCTCCCAGGAGGAAGGACAGTGTCAGCTCCAATTCAGAGATGATTTGAGGATCTACAGCCGAGTGATACACAAATAAGATACATTTTTGTTAATAGGTAAAGCACCTGAAATGTATTTTTAAGGTTTAACTCCTGAGTTTAGCGTCAGTTTAAATACAGTGTCAAACAAAACAAAAAAATATATTGGTCGCACTCCTCACAGGAAAAATCACAAAGTTGAATGGGGGGGGGTTGCTTGTAGTGACCTGCGGATGTGGCGCCGCCACACAGTACCAAGATGAATAAATGTCACCAGCACACCAGCAGTATTGCAGTCCAAAGTCATTGCGGAGCCTGATGAAGGGGACCCTGCGTGGCCCCAAAAGCGCTAGTTTTGGTGACATGACGTTCCAATAAACAAACTCTTTGGACTGCAATACTGGTGGTGTGCTGGTGACATTTATTCAGTTTAAATACAGCGACTCATCCAAAGGGTATGACAGATCTCTAAATAACATCTTACCAGTTTGGCTTTGATGGCCCCCGAGTCCACATTTTGTCCTGTCTTGGAATGCAGCTGTAACTGCACAGCATGGAGCTGAAGCAACTGATCGTGAACCTCCCTCTCCAACACGGTCTTTTCTGCTTGACTTTCTGTCAGCTCTGACTTCAGATCTACAACCTGAGCCTGCAAAATTAAAAATTATTACATTAAAAGGATGGCAGCACAAAATAGTCTATTTAACCATATTTTTTTTATTGCTAGATACACATTAAATAACTTTCTATGAAGTGTAAATGCACAGTTATTTGGCATGGTCAGGGTTATTTCGAATATCTCCCAGAGTCTATTACATTTTATAGTGCTGTCAAACTAAGTTTTACTGACACCTGTAGTGCCCTCACACACAGGACACCAGGATTGTCACATAAATGGACAGGGACTGCCGACACCTGTAGTGCCCTCACACACAGGACACCAGGATTGTCACATAAATGGACAGGGACTGCCGACACCTGTAGTGCCCTCACACACAGGACACCGGGATTGTCATATAATGGACAGGGACTGCTGACACTTGGGGTGCCCTCACAGTCAGTCCAGAATACAAACAGCAGGACTTAATGAAGCTGCCGAGACCAGAGGAGAGGAGAACGGTTGAGCGAGGAGAAACCTGCGGTCCAGGTGGGAGGTGTGGGCTCCTTAGAAGGCGGTTGGCTGATTTGCCGCGCCATGTTTTTTCTGCCCGAGTGCAGGCTACAAAAACCCCCCACAAAATTAACCCTGCTTGCCATGGTACAAAGCTCGGGACTGGCGGGCCTAATAAAATCTTTTGGTGGGCCATTTCTGGCCCACGGGCCTTGTAATTGATGTGTGTGTGTTCTATAGTATAGAAAATAGAAAATCGTACCTTGCAGCATGCCGTTCCCTACAAAAAACGCTGAGCTTTCGGGCACTGAAGAAAGATAGAACCTGAGCTGTACAGCACTCAGGTCACATCACCCGCCCCTCCTCATTATACTCCAATCACAAAATGGATTATATTTTGTAAAGAATACAAGGCATTCTGTAATAATAGGAGGAGGAGGAGGAGGAGGAGGAGGAGGAGGGGGAAGGGAATCATAAATTCACAAGTCCATAATGCAGTGTATCAGTATTATTTTCTAGTAGAGCATGCCATCAGTACAATAGAATGATCTTTCCCCACTTTCTCACCTTCAATCTGAAATAAGGAACCACTATATGCACAAGTGGCAACTGATGAGCAGACTGAGATGTATACTGCTAGTATGAAATGGTGAGTGTACATTCCATGGATTGCATTTGTCCAAATACCCCAGAAATGGAATATACACATACATACATACATACATACATACATACATGACGTTTGTAGGCTCATTAGCTATAATTTGGCGCTGATGTTGCTAGAGGGCCAGACCATTATAAATAGGGAAGCAGGTTGTTTACCACGACAGTAGAAGTGATTTTTTCCTGAAGATACGGGTAAACAACGCAATTTAACAGCCTTTGAACGTGGGATGATTGTTGGCGCTCGGAGCGAGTATCAGCAAAACAGCAGAATTTGTTAAATGTTCAAGAGGGGCTCATTGTTAAAGTGTTTAAAGATTGGACTGTCAGCCGAAAATCTGGGTCTGAACGTGCGAATTGTGGCCGTCAGCGACTAATCAGTGTTAGGGCAGAACGGAGAGTGGCAAGACTGGTACAAGACAACAGAAGGGCAACAGTGCAGTGTCAGATTCCTCGCCTTTCAACATCTCGTGGAGTCACGAGGCGGCCCAACAAAGTCATCTCGTGGCCCAACGAAGTACTGATGGGGTGGTCATAATAATCTGGAGTGTATACACACACACACACACACTATGGTCTTTATTTTTTTGTCCATCACCTACTGAAGTATCAGGCCCAGTTATCAATATCCATTTATGTTTGGCAAAGAAGGAAATAAAATATTCCTAAATAAAACAACTCTAAGTTTCCCAAGGAGCAGGATCACAAGATAAAAGGAGTACAATCTACTAGGTGTGTTCAAACAATTGTAAACCATTAACCCTCAGATAAACCTGTCCAGCGAGATCAGGACTCTCACTCCTCAGGAATTACAGGCATATCTGTACAAAGATGAGAGCCGGCCATACACCGCTCGAATTTCCAGCTGTGGGTGGCCCTCCCAACACCGTTTTTTTAATGAACTTTTGTCAAAGGAGCTAGGTCCAAGAATGTCGGGCGAACAGTGACTACAGCTAATCAGCACCAGTCACCATTCAGGTACTGTGACAGTTGTGGGTGCTGGCTACCAGGATACAATAACTGGTAGGGGAGATTCCCCCATCTACTGTGTTTAGAGCTGAGTGCTGAAACTAGAAGAGTGTGGGCAGCCACAGCACCATGAAGTAAGCCCGGCATTTAAAGCAGCAGGTCTCATGAAGCACATTGTAAAAATAACTTAACATTACACATAATAGTGACCTCCTATACACCTACAGTATAAACTTAACCCCTTCACGACCCATGACAGGATAATCCCGTCATGAAGTCTGAAGGGGTTAAACAGACAAAAGCCGGAAGGACTCTGTTCAGTTTTGTAGAGCCGGCGGCCGGCTTTACAATTGAAGTGATCTGGCGGCTCAGCTTCCGCCAGATAGCTTCTCCAATCCGGTAACCGGTACTGCCACCTCCCCAACACCCCTGCTGTGTTTCCTGGGCTCCGCTGCCCCTCCTAGGAGGCCCAGGACTGGCTTATCTGGTGTCAGCGGGAAGCTGGGGAAGAGATTGGTGAACGTCCGTTCTCCGATTTCCTCTACATTCTATGGGACCGTTAACGACGCATATTGCCTCACTTCCGGTCCCATAGCCGTCATTGCTCCGCTCCTGAAGCCCAGTAATAAGCTATTGAAGTGCGATCTGCACTTCAATAGTTTATTTAAAGTGGAAAGGTGACACTGGGGGTCTTTTGGACCCCCAGCATAACCTTAAAAGGAGAACTATGTGGTTAGGGCTTTTCCCCATAGTTCTCCTAAGGGTATAACGGGAGGACACAAACTAGCGTCCTCCCATCACCCAAAGCTCAGTATACCGCTTGCGGTATACTGAGACGCCGCAGCCGGAACGGATCCAGACAATGCTGTCTGGATCCACCCAGCTGCGTGAGTGACAGCTGGCTCTGCCTATCTAGAGGCAGAGCCAGCTGTCCCGCCCCCTCACCTGTCCGTTTTGCCAGTCAGCGCTGGAGGATCGGACAGGGGAAGGGGGGGGAATCCCTGCAGGGAGCCGTGAGTGACAGTCACGGCTCTCTGCAGGGATAGATCGAGAAATGAGCGAGCGACGGTATGTGTTCGCTCACTTCCCGATTTACTGAGCCAACCTGTGACAGTCATTGTCACAGGTCGGCTCAGATTATGAGGCTGAGTGAAAAATCGCTCGCCTCATAATTCTCCATTAAAGAGCATCTGTCACTGCCAATATGCTATCACATGGGGGGGGGCTTGTATACCCCCTATGTGATAGCAATTACATTTTAAATAAATTAAAAATTTAATGTAAAAATATGTTTTTTTTACATTCCCCCGCGAGCACGCGCATCGTCACACAAGACCTAGTATCACTTGCAATAAGAGGCAAAATGGGCTGGCCAGCTTCACTTCCTGGAGTGCTCATGAAGAAATCTAAAAGGTAAATGTCTTCTTTTTAGTCCGGTTGGCAGTTTACCAATGTTTCTGTCAGCAAAGGTTTAGACCTAGAGTCAGATGCATTTATATATACATGCCAAATCAGGCAGACGGCTGGGCTAAGATGTCCACAGTGGCAGGGGAGGGCCAGTGTGGACATCGCAAGGCCATCGCAATGCTGCAGTAGAGGTAAGTTGTGAGGACTCTAGTGCCTTGTGTGTTTTTTTTACAAATGATCTACTTGCTGGTGATGAATGTAGACCTAATCCAGGGCTAGACTAACCTCAGGAGCCAGGTAGCTAATGCTTCTTAAAGCAGAACTCTGGGTAACTCAAATCTAATAAAATAAAGTTATACTCACCCACACCACGATCCTGGCTGGCTCCTACACCGCTCTCTCCAGCGTGACCCCCTCCTCCGCTCCAGCAAAGGAATGTCCCTCGGCGTCCTCATGTCCAATACAGTGCATAGGAAGTGAGGACTCAATGGAGCTCAGACCACTGGAACAGACGGCGAGAAAGGCAGAAGGGACCGTTTTAAAGCTGGCTGGGTGGGCTGATAATAACTTAGTTATTTTAGCTCCCTAGACAAAACGAACACTTAACCCTTGCACTGCAGGGGTAGCCCCACTGCAAGGATTAGGATTTGCCCGGAGTTCTGCTTTAAAAATGACAGCTGGTGCCTACCTTTTTGAGGGTTTCTCTTGTTGTCATGGAGTCGATTCCTAAAAAAAAATAATCATGCTGGCTCCTGGATTGGACAGACTGGCTCCTGAATTCCATATTAATTTGTCCCCCTCTGTTCTAATCCATGAAACATTCTTCTCCTGTAATGGTATTAATACACGCACACATACAATTTCACAGCCGCATCCTTGCCTTCTTGCAGCTTAGAAGAACTTTCGGCCAGGAAGCACACACCTGCCCAGAGTAATCAGCACTACATGTCCCATCATGCATTGCCCTAATGTCATTTACAGGGAAGGAGGAGGCAGAGGCCGGACTTTTTTGAGAATTGTTTGCTGGGCTGCCTGTGTGTAGGGGCACCGACACTGTCATCATGCAGGGATGTAGTTCCCATGCCTGGGAGCACACAATAGAGACCTAGTGAGAGAAAGGCACCACCCTCTGAACGGAAATCTTCATCATCAATGAGTTCACAGCAAAAAAAAATAAAGAAGGATCTGCACAATGGGAGAGCAAGCAGAACAAGCACATCTGACAAGACTTGCAATAGCTGAGAAAATAGGAAGGTTACATCAGCAGAGCATTGCTGGGAAATCTCAGGAAAAGGCATTTCATCCCCCGAGATGATGTGCATGGTCACGTGTCCTAGTCACATGTGCCAAAGTTCCAGGAAGTAAAAGAAGAGCTAGTAACCTGTCCTTAGTTAAAATGGTCACTGTCAGAAGACCGGGGAAGAAAAGGAAAAAAATAAGGTATGCAAAGAATAAAAGCCAGCAATTATCTAGAAGTATGTGTTTGTCATTACTGAACAGTTCTAAGGGTGTGCTTGTTGTTATTTTGAAGATATGGGTAAAGTTCCTCTGTAATATCGCTTTAAGCACAAGCAAGGAATAGGGGAACACTAATTTTATTACCTCTCACAAAGTACACCTCCTGACAATGCCCCAATCTCCTCTTCTCTCCAAAAGTCAGGCACCATCTTAGCTCAGGCATAATCTAAAGTTACCATCTACTTCCCCAACTGAGATACTAGATAGAGATGTATAGAAAACGTCAACAGCACACCTATAACTCCTATCAACAATCCATCTTCTTCATTGATGCGGACTGTCAAATAACATAAAAAGCACTCATTAAAATCAGTGTGAACAGTGCGCCTGCTATATGTACCCAAGACTTCACACTGAATGTAAAAATATATGTGCAGTACACAGAGAAACTGGATATTTATATACTGTATCCTCTGGATCAACATTGGGTAACTGTGGGCATAGCGTTCTGTTTAGGCTTTTCTTCTTTTTTTTTTTTTTCTTCTCTCCGTATCTCTATAGGTTGAACTCGATAGACTTGTGTCTTTTTTCAACCTGACTAACTATGTAACTATATGTAACTATGTATCCATCATCACCAATTCAACTCAAATAGGCCATAGGAAAGCCATAGACAACACTTCTATCCTCAGGAATACATTTTTTAACATAAGAAAATACATGTCTACAAGTCCTCTATACTTTAAGAATTACAAGTCCCGGGGAAGAGTTCAGAGACCGAGGGCTGTTTTAAGAAATGAAAAGACCTCTCAGAAGCCTGACGATAGGAGTCCAACAAGAAACCAAACTATTTTTGTTTAAAAGGAAATACCACATTTGGAAAAAGTAAATAAATGCACACTTATGCATAAAAGAACAAAAATGTGCATTTATTTTTTTTTTTGCACAGGAGCAGATCGCAGGTGCAATGCTCTAGCTTCAGCAGACTTTTCCTCTCATCCATGTCCATACTGAGGTATGGTCATTCAGTAATAATGTCTGGAAGAAGTGTCAATGAACTACAAGTGGGGTGACGATGTATTGCATTGAGAACGACAAGCCTTTCTGATGTGGCAGCTGATTGGACTATTATTTCCTCTATCCATAGATCCTGTCAAACGATATGTGAATAGATGACAATAGGGATATACTGATACTAGTATCAGTGCTGATACAGAGTATTTAGCCGAGGACTCGTACTCGCCCAAATGCTCCCGATACGGGAATCTCTGTTATCAGAAAACCGGGCGACGAGTCATTATGCGCCGCCTGGCTTCCTGATTGGCCAGGAAGCCGGCTCCATGCTCTCTTCCATGTTCCCAGCTGAGTCACAGGCTTGTTTACAGATTAAAATTTAGCTGCCGGCTCCATGCTCCCTCGTCACCAGGTGACGAGGGAGCATGGAGCCGGCTTCCCGGCCAATCAGGGAGCCAGGCGGTGAGTTCTTACCTGGCCCCCGACTTCCTGATTAGCCAGAAAGCCGTCTCCATGCTTTCTCGTCACCAGGTGAAAAGGGAGCATAGAGCCGGCTAATCAGGAAGCCAGGTGGCGAGTCATTACACGCCGCCTGGCTATCTCAATGGGACTTCTAGTATTGGAATTCAGTATAGCCAAGTACTGAAAGAAAAATATTGGTACTCAATACCAAAAAAACGGTATCGGTACACCCCTAGATGACATGGCTCTGTGGCAGGAGCCAAGCTAAATTTTAATCTGTAAACAAGCCTGCGGGGAGAACCCTGTGATTCAGGGGGGGGTTCAGGTGGTCGGAGTTGCAATCTGACCAGGCTTCATGGCGCACCGTAAATATGGGTCTAACATGAAACATGGTCAGAAAGTAAAGTAGCCTTTAAGCCTTGATGTTTTAAAGGCCACAAAATGCCCCTTCATGTTAGCTTTTGTTTTGTCTACATGTTATCAGAACGTTTTCAACAATAAAAGATTGTGGACTCTCCTCTCAAGTTGATGGTTTGGGGCTAATTTTTCTGATTCTGGGCAGGTGAAATGAAGGCTTTAAAGCCCATTTATTTTTCTTATCCCTAGGAGTTATGGAGGGTGGCAACTTTAAACCGACCAAAGACATTTGAAGGTGGACTGACATTCATGTTTGGGGATACGCTGGCTAGCGCAAATGAACAGTCACTGTTGGGCTGCACTGCCTAGCCTGGTGCGGTACTGAACGGCAACGCAACACACCACACTGTTTTGTTTGTTACCACAAAGCAATTGTATGAATGAGGCCTTTATTCTTTGTATATGTTCTAATTTACATGAGGAAATGTCAACCAACCTGGATGTCTGTTGTCATCACCACTATTACCTTTATACACATCTGCGTATTAGACGCCTACAGAAAAGCTGAAGGAAAGGACACCAGGGAGAATGAGTCCTTATTTACACAATCAGTGAACAGTCCGAAGCACAAAGGCAGGTGTGTTTGTTATAGGTTCAGCAGATCAAAGTGGAGTGTATGAATATTAAAAGAGTTTACTGAAAGCTGGCCATAAACAGAACATGGTAGCACACCATCTGACCATCAAACATTCTGCCCCTTCTCCCACTACCACCACCCTGGTCCCATATAAATGCCTGCTTGTAGGAAAAGTATACCAAGCGTCGCAATGCAGCAAACATTATATCTCTGGGCTGACCATACACTGTTAACATTTCAGCCAATTCACAGTAATTATCCGAAACACAGTGGGCGGCCCTGCTGGCTCGACAAAAAACGATTACTCAATTGGCTTTTATCAAAAGGAGGCGGATGGAAGACTTTTGGCCACTGCTGTCACTGTTCAGGTAGTCTGACAGCAGTGGGCACTGGCTCTCAGAATATAATGTCCCACAGGCGATGGGATGGAGAGATGTTAGCATTTCTTTTGTTCAGTCAGCAGGTTGAAGGATAGAAATCTATAAGAGTATGGCCAGCTTTATTATGTGGCCCTTGGGGCCCCCTGCAGTCAATAGCCTGAGAACCTGGGTAACATTTTCATTAGACTGGCTTCTAGTAGGTGAATGGTTTTTTTTTTTTTTAGATACCATCTTACTTTTTCCGTGCTGTCCGTCCCTTTCCTCATTACGTTTTTTTACCCTGTGATCTTCGATGCCTGCTTCACACCTAGGCCATTGCGGTTGTTGAGCTGTTTTCATGCGTTTGTCACTGGGGTTTTATTGTGCGCAGTTTTGCTGTTAAAAACCTCAAGAAAAACGCATGGTTCTCAATGCATAGGGGTGTCTATGGGACCAAAACCGCACGGCACCGGCCTGAATATAGCTCCTGCATCTTTTTGCGCGTCAGGCCATATCGCACATGCGACACAAAGCTAAGGCGTAAACTGTCGCCATTGACTTGCAAGGGTTTTGCGCATTATGGTGTGATAAAATGCCTAGGTGTGAACCAGGACTTAGTGCCGGTGCACACCTGGGCAATCCATGACCGTGCGGCAATCGTGCACGATACTGCAAAGTCACCAATCACTGACGATTGCGCTGTGGGTGCCATTATTTTCTAATGGCACCCCAGTCACGCCGGGCCGATCACGCGTTTTTTTTTTTTCTGCGACTGTCGCGTGGATGTACCCCATTGAAATCAATGGGGCCACGCGGCAATTGCTGTCTGTAATTGTGCATGACCGTGGGATCCTGGGACGCACGTCCCAGATCGTTCAGGTCTGCACCGGCCCTTAGAATGGATCTAGCTGAGGCAAATATAAAATGTGGGACATTTTTAAGTGGTCTGCAAGAAGCACAAATGTGGAAGTGTGCATTTGTAAAGGGGCTGTAATCTCTGCCAATCTCATATAATGTGTCTCCAGTCTTTGACAGTCTCCTGAGATGCGTCTCCAACTGCTTCTATACCATGTCTGCAATCTCTGACCATTTCCTGTCACATGTTTGCAGTCTCCGACTCTCTCCCGTCCCCTGCCCGCAGTCCAGTCATGGGATGGTCAGGGACTGCATAACTGCAGTCTCTGAGTAGTGCTGAGCCTGAGCTTGGTGCAAACCCAGTTCACCGAAGTCCCCTGCAAGCAGGGGATAGTCCCCTACCATGCCCTGCTCGCAGTCTCTGACCATTTCCTGTCTTATATCTGCAGTCTCTGAGCAGTGATGAGCCTGGGCATGGTGCAAACCCAGTTCACCCAAGCCCACTCAAAACTGTGACTGCCCCACCCACCAAGCCCAATCAGTGGCAGCAATTGCAGCGAGGGGGCACTCCCCACCCCTTTGTGACGTAAAGCTGCAGGAAAAGGAATGCACCTCTCTGCAACTGATTGAGCCAGGAGAAAGGGGTGGCAGGCACAGTTCTGAGCGGGCCTGGGTGAACTCTGGCAAGTTTCCCACCAGTCTCAGACTCATCACTATCTCTGACCTTCTCCTGTCACGTGTTCACAGTCTCTGACCATTTCCTGTCATGTGTCTGCAGTCTCTGACAGCTTTTTGTAGCACGATATTCACTAAATATTATGGGGGGGATGTATCCAAACTGGGGCAGAAGAATCTGGAGTAGTTGTGCACAGCAACCAATCAGCGTCTCACTTTCATTTTCAAAACATAACTGGAGAGAAACTGATTGGTTGCCCTGGGCAACTGCTGCAGTTTTGATACATTCCCCCCTAAATATTTTATTCGATGATGTCAGGAAACTGGCCACCACTGTCACAGACAAACAACCAGGGACTTATTACCAGTCTGTGCCGGTGGGATTACTGAATACAAGCACAGGGACACAGGAGTCACCGATCCTAGGCCAAAGCCCTCCACACTCACCTCTAGTTTGTGGTTGATCTGGCTTACGGTCTGCGCTTTATGACACAGCTGAGCGAAGCATGAACTCAGACTGGTCATCTTCTGGCGGCCCTCATAGGTGATGTCGGCCTGGTCAGGGTCTATCTCTCCCAGCAACAGATCCACATCCACGAAGGCCTTGTCAAACTCCTTCTCCAGGACTTCCATCCAGCGGAACATGGACATCCCGGGCACTGGCCCGGCGGACGAAGCGCCCGAGCACGGTACTGCCGACATGACGGCGCAGCAGAGAAGGGAAGATGGAGAGCGTCACTTGCACCAGGCGTCAGGGCTACCTGCCGGCTGATTGGCTATTCCCTTTACACAGCGCTTACCGATTGGCCCATTGTGTGTGGGAGACGAAAGCAAGCCAAGAGCTGTAAGCGTGCGACGCAGCCTGATTGGTTAGGCTACAACCGGGTGCTCCTACCCTGATTTGTGATTGGCTAAAGTGGTTACCTGGGCGAGGACGATTTGTTTTCTCTTGTCTAGACCCAGTACTTGACTCCAATGCTCTTATTTCTCATAATATTTATTTCTTATGATAGTCCCTGAAGTAATCGGAGTGCCGTGTCACGAACCTTTTATCAGTCGCTGCTGGGTATCTCTTCATTCATTCCATTCTTGAGAAAGGTTTTTGCCACTTACGTTTGTATATAGGTAATCATTATTTTTGTCTGCCACAACTGACAGCGTAAAGACCAAGGCAAGCGATTACCGAGTGATCGTTTTGTTAGTATCGCGAGGTCTGGCACGTCCATCCAGTGTGATCGCTTTGCTATTTCTGTAGCTTCCTAATACCTGAGCGTTTTATTTGCTATTACATGATATCTTTATGTTTCTTCCTGTTAATGTGTATCTTAAAATCAAAGTCTTTTTTTAGTTTTGCATTGAGAAGAGAACTCCTGTTTTTTGACGGTGTCAGGAAGTTAGATTTCCCTGGAAGGCACAGAAGGAAGTAGAAGAAAATATGTCCAAAATGAGGGTAAATTATTAGACGGCGCCCCAACTGGAAGATTTCCCTTCTATTTCTGACTTGGTGACAGCTGTACTTTATTACTTGTTGATCCTGCTAGTCGTTCCTTCCATTTTTAATTTCCCTGAATAGGGTGACAACACTGTTCATTCTGCAGTGAAATCACTGTAGAGTTGTCACCCTGTGGACAGGTTAGTTTTAGCTGGATAGGTAGTTTTAATAGGACTTTAGGCAGCGAAAGGGTTAAAGTTGACCTCTGGCCCCAAACATTTTGTGTCTATTTGCAATGTAAAAATAAATGAGAGCTCATACAGTGCGTGCTGTGTGCGACCACTGCTGTGTTATACAATACTCATACTTTCATTCCCTCTTTACAAGTCCAGCTGGAGTACACAGATTACAGCGGGACAGTCTCTCTGCAACTCGTCCATTTTGAAAACGCCTTGCATTCTTGTCAGTTATTGCGAGGCATTCTGTGTTTGAACGAGGGGAGACCGTGATGTTTATTTGCACCTCCTCCAATCACAGAACGCCTTGTATTGCTTAAAAAGAAGGTGAAACGTTTTTGGAATGAACAAGCTGCAGAAAGAGCGACTTACTGTGATCTGTGCACAACAGCTGGACTTGTCATTTTCACCTACACCTAGAGCGATGGATACCAGCGGGGGATGTCCCTGGAATTCAGCCCCTGCTCAGTATATGTGCAATGCAGCACATCTAAAACTTCTAAGCTTCTCACGCTGGTCCTCCCAATCCTAGTCTGAAGACCTTTCTACAGCCAGGGCCAGGCCTGCCGCTAGGCAAACTAGGCAGCCGCCCAGGGCACAGCCTCGACCAGCGGCTTCTACGCACTCCACCAGCTTCCCAATCCCGTTGTAAGATCGGATGCTGTTCGCTGGAGACAAAACCGTCTCCTTCAAACTTCAGCCAATCTGTGACGAAGAGGTATTCAGCCAATGAGGTGCACTGCAAGCCGCGCTGCGCGCAACATCACTTCCGTCTCGGCTCCTACAGCATGCAAATAGCCGCACTTGATAGCTCTTGGCATCTGTGCTTGGAGTGTCGGGCTGCCAGGTGCAGGGATCTTAAATAGTCGGCTACATTGTCCCTGGCATTCCGGTGTATCTGCTATGCATAGCTGCTGCTGGCTCACCCAGGAACTTTCTAGTGCGGGTCAAGATGGAGCCTAAGGGACAGCAGGACTGGAGGGGACCCAGGGGCCACAGGAGGCTTAAGTGGAGCATCAACAACAGCCCCCAGTTCCAGCTCCAAAACTATCAAGCTCCTGTGCCAAACAAAGAGCCAGCAGGGACACGGTTGACTTCTCTGCGAGCCACCAATTAGGACCAAAGAGATGCGGGAAGGGTGGAGTGCTTCTTGGAGGCTTTGCTTGATAGCAGGTCCCTTGACTACTTTGAGATTGAGACTGGTGTTGTCACCACCACTCACTGGACAGGTAGACAAAGGACGCCCATGTTTTTAAGGTGACCGCCACAGACTTCGGTTCTTCTAGATCAGCTTTTACATTGCTGACTGTGACAGTAAGTGATACCAATGACTACATCCCAGTGTTTGAACAGTCAGAGTATAGAAAGAACATCAGAGAGAACACAGAAATAGGCAACGAGGTGATGACAGTCAGAGTCACAGATGGAGATGCCCCATCTAATGCCAACATGGTCAAAGCTGGTCAATGTGGATGGGGTAAACTCAGTCTTTGAAATAGATCCAAGGTCTGGGGTGGTGAGGACTAGGGGGTGGTACCGACTACCAGCTCATAGTAGAGGCCAATGACCAGGGCAAGGACCCAGGACCTAAAAGTCCAACAGCCGCAGTGGGGTGCAAGTAGCTGGTCTTGCCTAGGGCACAGCACCAGCCCTGTGTACAGTGGTTTACAAATGGCTGGTATTGAGGCATATTCAAGTACTTCCACTGGCTACATTTAAAAAATGCATACATTTAGGGGTACATATAGCAGCTATACTGCAGCTATACTAACAAATGTTTAGGAGTCTAATGTTGGCAGAGAGCATTAAAAATGACTGTGGTTGTTAAAAAAAAAAAGCCAAGAGGAGAACTCGGACACGTAGCCTGTCAAAGTCACATGACCAACTCTCTTCCAAGCAGAGTGAACTACCTCAGTCTCAATTCCACAGCCTGCATTTTATGAATGGGCCACAAAATGCAGGTCACGGTATAGAGCATTAGAACATACCCCTTACTAATTATTTTTTTTTACAAATTGATAAGTAGCTGCCTTGATTGTCGTTTTTTGTTTTTTTTTTACTCTTTGCCGGGTGTTTAGTTTTATTGCACTCATAAACACAGGGAAAATCTTGTACCAGAAAAACCAAGTCGCCATAAACTCGTAGTAACCACATACAATAAAAGGTATACAGAAGATAGTTAAAGAGTCACAATGCATCATGCCGAAGGATGGAACTCTGGACTTCAGACAACCACTTCACCTCAGCCATAGACTCATTTCAAGAAACTTTATGGACAAGAGAACCAAATCTTGCAAATATAATTATCTGCAAACTGCCCTCTCATTCATCATGTCACATATCGAAAAGGCTCATACTGCTGCATTCCAGTAAAGTGATGTACTTCACCCAACGTAACAAATGCTGTCATTATTATTATTATAATATAGGATTTATATAGCGCCAACAGTTTGCGCAGCGCTTTACAATATAAGGAAGACATTACAATCACAATACAATTCAAGACCAGATGGTAAGGAGGGCCCTGCCCCAGAAGGCTTACAATCTAAAAGGGAGGCTCATGTATTTAATGATGCATAGAATGCCTCCAGTTTGCCATATTCCAAGGAAGCTACATTTCTAAAATGTTTGTCAGTTTTACAGCTGGCGGCATGCAGAAATGGAGAGGTAATTGTCAATACCATTTAGGGCTCATTTACACTGTTGCGTTTTAATGCACACGCTGCAATGTGCTAAAACCCATGTGTCCAATGTCCTCATTATCAAAATAGTGTCTGTTCCTATCTTACGCTGCAGTGCAATGTGTTTTGAAGACTACAAAATGTTAATTTTTTTTTCTGCTTTATATTGCATTGGGAGGCCCATTGAAGCCAATGCATCCAAGCAGATGTAATATGCATTTTGATGTGTTGGCAGCAGTTACGGTATTAAGAAGCTTGGTAAATAGCTGTGAGCCCTATCCACTCCAAATTCTAAACTGAAAAATACATTGATAATGCATGACAACGCACCTCAATAATGCATGTTAACACACCTGCTTTTCACACAAAAACGCACCTCTATGCACACGCATGAATCAAAATGGCTTCTGTACCAATCATCTGTTATATCAACAATTTTTTTTTAAAGTGGAGTTTTCCTTTAATGCCTACATTCATCCTAAAAAAAAGGAAGTATTCTCAAATACCCATAACACTGCTGAAATAAAAAAATGCATGTTTTGTTGCATTACCCACTTTTTCCCCAGTGCTGTCCCTGCAGCCTGGGATCTGTGGCTGGCCGGGACCTCACAGAACAGCGTTAACACATCACAACACTGAGGACGAGGAATGGGCTCCTTGAATTATTAAAACTGTTTTAGGGCTTGTTCACACCAATTGTGGTGCGTTCCAGAGCGGTAGCTAATGGAACGCACTGCAATCACTCACAAAACGCCCCCCTGCATTCTGGGGCGGGAGGGAGCGTGGCTGTGCATTGAAGTCAGTGGCACCACAGCCCAGCCCGCCCGCAGTGCGATCGGACGCGTTGCAAAACATTGCCTGTGTTCCGTTCCACTGCAAACGTAAAAAATAGAGCAAGCAGCATTTTTTGCGTTTGCAGTGGAACGGAACACAGACAATGTTTTGCCACGCGTCCGATCGCACTGTGGGAGGGGGCGTGGCTGCGGTGACAATGACTTCAATGCACCAGAACGCAGGGGGAAGTTTTGTGAGTGATTGCGGTGCGTTCCAGCAGCTAGCGCTCTGGAACGCACCGCAATCGTTGTGAACAAGCCCTTGAAGTTGAGGGAACTGTAAACAGGAGCCGGGCTTTAAAAAGCAGTAAAAGAGCTTTAAAACAAACCCTCACTCTTCAAAATATCCGTTCTCACCATAGCACTGCATTACTGAATGTATATGAATACATGTTATGCGGCTGACACATGTAAATGGTCTACCTAATGCACCAAAACACACCAAAAATGTGCAGGTAGCATTTTTGGGCAGCACAACGCACTCTAATCCATTGCCAGACATTGTGCTGTGCTGCAACACACATCCAATGGCTAAGCACATTGGGGTACCATTCAGAATAAATGTCACCATGCACATTGCATTGTGTACTGACAAAAATGCTTTATATACCTCTTCTGATAC